AGAAACTCTCATAGGAGTTGAAACCACACCCATTTTCGATGCCCCTTCGGTTATACTTTTCTGCGAGATTTGAACAAGAGTTTCTGGAATAAATCACTCTATTCTAAGAGAACGTTTAGACGAGATTGTACACGGCAAGACTAAAAATATTGTAAACGGTGGTATACAGATGCTGCAAAAAACAATTCTTGGATTTCTTAATTTTAATAATAAGTACAAACATTTTTTTAAACGGTTCTATATATATTTAATTTTTTTTTCTATATATAAGAGAACTATTATTTTGTATAAGCGAACTAATATTTTATTTATTAACATTAACACAACGATTATCATATTTTTAAAAAAATGCGAGTGGCGCCATCTGGTAAGAAATATATTAAATAACATTTTTTAAATATTTTTAATATATTTTCGAAATTAGATGTTAAAAGACATAACAAATAACATGTACTGTCGCTAATCGGATCATGCTATTTGCTATTTTGATATTTATCGATTTATTGTGTTGCGATGGTGATTAAATAAACGACACAACAACTCTCTCTCTCTCTTTTATTTGATAAAATTAATATAAAATACAACAATATATAAAATTTATATAAAATACAACAATATATAAAATTAATATAAAATACAACAATATATAAAATTATTATAAAATACAACAATATATAAAATTATTATAAAATACAACAATATATAAAATTAATATGAAATACAACAACAATATATAAAATTAATTTCTCTTTTATTTGAGATAAAAAAACGGTTACAATAATAATAAATAATTACATTAAAAAATGGATTGAAAAGATGTCTATGAAAAAATAGAATAATGACCATAAGATAAAGTATCTATTCCGTTACTTAAAATGTATTTCTTGTCGTAAAAAGCGGAAAGTGAGATTTTATTTTGAAATTGAGTTGTGAGAACGTGATTTTTACTAACTATTTGAGTTTGGTTATGACGAAGTTGTTGTTTTTTAAATAGAGTAGTTTTATATAGCTCATAATGAAAAGTTGATTTTACAACTGATTTATTAATATTTTTTGCCGTTTTTTGTCATAACGCTCTCCGGAGATCGAATACATTTTAGCTTTTAAACCTACAAATTCCGATATTGCAAACGACTTTGCTTCATCTTTAAAAAATCCTAATTCGTTTTTATTTTCTTCGCTGTATAATGGATAGTCTAGAGAATAATTACTAAAATCAAATATGTTCAGAAGATTATTTTTAAATTTGTTGTAAATATCGTCTGTATAAATTTCTAAAATTAAAGAATCGGTATCTGTATACAAAAGTTTAACTCTATCTTTATAATAATTTCTAAATACTTCGTAATCTATTTGATACATATGTAACTTACTCAACTCTAAAACAGAAAAACCTATGTATAATGGTTTATCGAGTAATAAATTTGTTCTTTTTAATCTAAAAACACCACAGTCTTCATTGATTATTTGGAAACTCTCTAGTGCAGGATCGTTTAGATACTTCTTACATTGATCTTTATTCAATCTGGCTTTTAAATTAATTTTTTTACGCACATTTTGCATACAGTTACTATAGAAGCTATTGTTCATTAATTTAAAAAAGTTATTGTCTAATTGACTATTGCTAAGTTTTCGTTTTTTCATTATTAAAAAATACATATGGTTGTAAGTAAGGCGCTTGTTTAAAAGAAAGTATTCTATAGATTTTTTTTAAAATTAATCCTTCCTTTAGATAATATTTTAAGTTTCTATAGTGTACAATATAACGTAATTTATCTTTTAATGTCAGAACTAATTTTGTAACATTATTGTTAAATTTTAAATTTAAAGTAGATAAAAGCGATTTCTGATATTCAGATAAATCATCATATTCTATTGTTTCGTGACTTACTGCGAGGGGTAAATCATTATGTCTATCGTGAAGCGAAACCGAATATTTTAAGTCAACTTCGAGTATGTATCCTATTTCAGATTTTTAAGAAACATTTTTAATATTAAATTCGTTAATTTCGGATTGTCGCAACCAACGTAACTCTGAATATGGGAGATATTGAACCATACTCAATCCGTATAGATTATTGCTATCAATCGCTATTATATAACTATGGGGTTTCGAATTATCGTAAGTTTGCGATATGTACGGATTGTTTGCGTGGGAATACCTATTTGCAAGGAGGGATAAACCCGTCTAATTGAGGATTCAATAAATAGATACATATCTAAATCGGTAAATAGCTCTAGTTCTATTTTAGCCATTTTCAATCCCGCAATAAATGTAAGATTTGGACAAGTTAAAAAATGAATTGGATCGNTTTCGAATTAAAAAATAATGATTTTGGTATAATAGTAAATTAGCAATTTTACCGAATTTAAACTTACTTATATAATACGGAAAAACAATATCTTTATAGCCATATATATTAATGGAAATACTATTTGATTTCTCAAAAACATATATTTGCTCCAACGAAACCGGATATTTTAAATTCAAACAATTAATAAATTTTAAATATTTTCTATAGCTAGATATATTATTTTTATTATTTACTAATGGAAAAATACTTGCGAGAATGCAATGCACAAAGCATTTATCATCATTACATTGAATATTTAAAATACACTTATTTATTAAACGTTTAGGTAAAATTATGGAACCACAACCCCCATTATATGCATTATATGTTGCTCTATGAATATCAATATAATCTAATTTGTAAATTACCCACCCACTGCCTAATACTACCACAACAGATATATCTCCTAGAATTTTGTTTATTGCATTCTCGATACTCTTCCAAGCTAGAAAAGAGCTTAGAACTCGTTCGGCGTATCTCGTAAAGAAAAAATCTTTAAACTCGTATTTATCTCCCATTTCTACGCTTTTGTACATTATTACTTTTAAGCTAATCACAAATCGTACTCTATAATCATTCCCGAAGTTCGTAATTACGTTAAAAAGTTCGGATTTTATATCTCTAAAAAAAATGGTTGGATCGATATATTCGAGTTTGCTTTTACTATAGCATTCTAAAAAATTTCGGAAGCCTGATTCTACCAGCAAAAACATTTTCTTTTTAAATTTTACCTGACGAGTTAATGTTTCTAGATGATTTCTTCATATAAGAGAGATGCCGAACTAGACTACGATGAGTTAATGATTCTAGACGATTTCTTCATATACGAGAGATAATAAAACTAGTCTATGATGATTTCTTCATATTTTGAGACAGAGATATGTTCGCAATAATTCTATTTTTTTAAAAAAATCAATTAAATTACATAATTTTTTAAAACCATTATATTAAAAAAAATTACTTACGTGTAGATTTTTTCATTTATTCAAATGAAATCTTCCAGATATTTTTGAACTGCGTTCAAAGCTTGATTAAAAAAATTAACTTCTTTTACCGGGATGTTGAATCTATTCTGTATCTTGCCTTTAGCATTTGTTTTCGCTAAACATATATAATACTGTTGTCTGAATTCTTTAATTTCTAGGTTAAACCCATGTGATATGTATATCGAATATGGCGGGATGGATTTAAACGAGGATTCGTCCTTCGATATTACTAAATCATACTTCTTTTTCTCCACTGGTGCATCATCGATTTTTGTTGTTGATTTATGCTTTCTACTTGTAAAGGAGTTGTCGATTACAAACAATGACTGAGAATCTATAAAAAAAAGATGAATAACTATAAAAAATAATAATTTAATTTTCTTATTTAAAATCAAATCTAAATAAAAAAAATCTAGCTTACCTTCCATAGACATCTTTTCTTGCTTAGTTGTAGAGAGAGAGAAAGAGAGAGAGAGTTGATAAACTAATGAATCTATTTGTCTATTTCTCTCACTTTTATATCCTTTGATAATAAGGGTTATTACCCTTTGACACCGTTAATATTTAATAACGGATGTGAATTTTAATTATTTAATTGTGTCAAAAGTTTTTAATATCTACGTGGGAAGTCTTGAAGAAAAAAAACATATTACATTAGTCATCTGAGTGGGAAGTCTTAAAGAAAAAAAAACATATTACATTAGTCATCTGGGTGGGAAGTGTTAAAGAAAAAAAAAACATATTACATTAATTATCTAATTGTGTAAAAAGTTCTTAATATCTGCGTGGGAAGTCTTGAAGGGGAAAAAAAACCGGAAAAAGTAATCTTAGGGGAGATTAAAAAAAAATGTCAGGCAATATATAAATACTTTTATTTCTTGTTTGTCCTTATATCTAGGACAAAATGAACTCAATGCTAGAACTGAAAACCTTCGAAAGGTATATTTTAATAACCGACGAAACATATTATAATGGAACAAAAGTAATTGATGAATCGTGGATACCAGTAATAATTCCCGAAAATTTAGATAGGGAAAAAAAAGAAGTCCGTTATAAATCATCCGATAATAAATGGATAACATTAAAAAAAATAGGTATTTATTTTTTTATATTTTACTAAAAATTATTTTTTAAATATATAATATTTGTTTTAGTTAGTTTTAAAAATCTTATTTTTTAGAATATACGAATCCATATTGGTGGTACGAAAACATATATGACCTATTTAAATATATTAATGGCTTGCACCTAAATGACAGAATTTATAAAGAACTATTAGTGTACGAGTACAAAACATACGAACTTTTTTGCGGCACTAAGTCATTTTTAAAAGTAAAATCAAAAATAATTAGAAAGGTACCTTTAATAATACGGAGAAGAGAGAACTATTGGTGCGTTATTGATTATAGGGGGAACCCTTATTTTATTTCTTGATGGTAAGGATCTTTTTTTTCAAAAATTTTAAATATATTTGTTTAATTTTTTTTTTTAAACAATTTAATATTTTTTAGAAATGGACATGGTAGATTAAAGAAAAAAATGGTGAGTAAAAATATTTCTTTGTTTTTTTTTTTCAGATATGCGCGGTTAAATTTAGGTTAAATTTAATATTAGTTTTTTTTTCCAGGTTCAATAAAATCACATTTTTTTTTTTAATAGACTTTTTATTTGAGTAAACTAATGCTACATTGATTACATTTAATTTTTATATTAGATGGTAATTTAGCCAAGTGGAAATTATTGTGTATAAATCTCATTACAAAAGCATCATTGAATAGTTTAGTATTAGGTTGTAATTTTCGCATATCTTGATTTCTCGATATTTTATAGAGAAAATATAGACAAAAGTATCCGCATGTAAAACTATACGGTCCTTGCAAACTCAATTGGTTCCAGCATAACTGTTTCGAATTCTGGCAAATAAATTTTATAATCGATCGGATTCTAGGAGGAAGTCCATACGAATCGAAGTAAAAACACGTCGAATCTTGAAAATATATCGCTATCCAATGTTGTCCCGGCTTTAGACTGCTATCGGTATTAACTATAAATCCTTTCTTTTTTCCGATTTTTTCGGGTAATAAATCCGATGGATAGACGCCTCCAAATGTCTTGCTAATTTCATCATCTCCTAATGCTGGTTTCCATAGGGTAATTGTATCCATTGTTTAATAATCGATGTAAATATTCTGAGATTGATCGATTTCTATTGTATTATGATACTCTAAAAAGCACACGACGTTAACCGTCTCCGGTAAAGGTCTTTTGAACTTTAAGTCTACAGAAATGTTTCCGTGTGTTAATATCGATGTATGATTTTCAGACGCTGCTTTATCTGGAGTTAAATCAAACACGTGAAACATGTATCCTTGCGCGTAGTCGGAATACGATATATTAGCGTATTTTCCGTAGGGAATTCCACCCATCTCTTCGAATAATGTTGCATAACTTTGAGCATAACTTTTTTCATCGAAATCAGGAGTATAAGGATTAGGAGGAATTAAAATTGAATCCTTTATAACAGAAATATAATTTAAATCAAAATTTTCAAAATTGAAAGGATTTAAATCGANTAGGGAATTCCACCCATCTCTTCGAATAATGTTGCATAACTTTGAGCATAACTTTTTTCATCGAAATCAGGAGTATAAGGATTAGGAGGAATTAAAATTGAATCCTTTATAACAGAAATATAATTTAAATCAAAATTTTCAAAATTGAAAGGATTTAAATCGATCTGTCCGTTAAATGCATTATTACGTACTAATCCGATTATAATTCTTTTGGGGATTTGACCGATTATTGCATTTGAAATATTTGAACTCAAAATACCTTTACTTAGGGTAAACACTTTAATATTGACTCGTCGATAAGGCATTTTAATTACAGAATTTTCTAATGCTTTTTCCATTCCAATTAAGATGCTAGGACTAACTTCTATTTTGTTTATTTTTAACGCAATATTCTTTAATCAAATCTGATAATTATCTCTATTTGCCATTAAAGCAAAAGTGTCTTTTGAACGTTCCAATTTTATTCAAACATCTATGCTGTTTATTAGTAATTTAGGTTGATTAATAAAATCGAAATGAAGTTGTCCATATAAATCCAATACTTGACCTTGACTACTTTTCTTAAATCTAGCGATTAATCCTTCATTCTTAGTGTCTTTAATCGGATCGGTTTCGTTTAAAAATCCAGCAGCGTCTTTGTAGAAAAAAGAACTAGTTAAATAAGTTTTTTGAGCTTCTTCAGACGAAAATAAGAGAGCGTCTATTATTGCCTTATATGGATAGTTTATATGCGTCGATTTATCATTAAACAAAGTGGTGCATCGTGAAAATATACTATGCAATAAATTATTTACGGGAGTAACGAGATCGGTATCCAAAGTAGGCATTCCATTTCGTTTAGTAACAGATAATTGAGCATTAATTGAAGTACTGCTCAAATCTATTAAGCTTTCACCCGAACCGGGAATTAAAAATTCTATAGGAGATGTTCGATTAGTTACTGAGGCTATGGGAAAAAGGATTGCTGCGGTGGAATTTTCTATAGATATCTGTGTCAGGATTGTTTTAAAGAAATCTAGCTCCGACTTCAGGCATGGACAAGATGACAGGTCCATTTTCTTAAGAAAAAATATCGACTTCCTTCCTCTTCTTAATATTCTTTTGTTTTATGCTTTTTCTTCGACGTTTTCGTTTTTTACCCGATCCGCTTTGAACTTTTTGAATGACGTCATCTCTCACTCCTTCACCTAATTCTTTTATACGTGTTAGGGCAGAATCTTTTAACGATTTCCCGCTGAGTAAATCGGATCCGATATCTTTTGCTATATTTAACGCTTTCTTTCCAATATATTTTCCCGCATCTTTTAATATTGGAATAGCTTGTCTGAACACGTCTCCAAAAAATCCGTATCCTCTTTGGATCGGACAACCTTTAAAGTATTGTCCGAATCCCGATTGGGGGGTAAAATAACGGGTGTGCGGATATATAGAATCGGGATTAAAAAATCCCCCCGCCTGCGATCGATAATAAGACACACAGTCCTCTGGTTTAAGCTTCATTTTATTAAATAAATGATTCTTTTGTGAAAATGGATTTTTATACTTGTCTAAAACATAATACCAAAAGCGATTTTCCAGAAGTAAAAATTATGTTTTCACCCATGGAGGAACGTAGATCTATAGATATAGTCTCGATGTGATTGGTTCGAACGGGAAAAAATAATGAGTGTTATAAATTTTATCAATTTGTTGTTCTTTTTCTCCCATGACGGGAATTACTCAAAACAATGAAGCCGAAGTATCTCCCACATGATGAGATTCTATTATATTAGAATATACAAATATTTCTGTTATTCCAGCGTTTAATTCTAAAGGATACGTCCCTGTAAATTCTCCTTTGGGATATTCTAACCCCTCAGTTCCCATTCACGAGTTAACTCGTCAAGCCTACATAGCGTTACGAAAAACGTGGTCCTTAAGGCCATTTTTGAAAAAAAAAATTTTTTTTGAATTTTTGGAATGTTTTTTAGGTCCCCAAATTTTTTCAAAATTTTTTGCCCGCGCGAAAAAATTTTATCGCGATTTTAATGAGCCTTTGATAAGGCTCGATTAAGGCTTAATTGTTTTTTAATGGGAGTTTTTTATCAAATTTATTTCATGGTTCC